GATCGACATGATTGATCTATTTCGCGTCTGCTTTTTGAATGTGTAGTAATTTCGCCATTAAATATCTATTAACGTACAGAAATGAGAGTATATATCTCGGAATATATCAAAGTTTTTATCTAGGGAATAGCGGGAAATGAGAGCATAACGACGAAAGGTAAAACAAATATCATTTTCTATTAACTCGAGCTAATTGGGGAATCAGATTCGGCGTCAGTTAATTAAAAATCAATGTCCATCAAATCGATGAGCGAGATGACGCGGGCAGATCCGCGAAGCACGAGAGGTTGCTCGCGAAAGAAAGGTCTCTCTTTTCATCTCTTCCGGAGCGACTGAATTACGAGAAAAGCTTTTCGACGTTCTTATACGAGCGGTCCTTTTAATTAATCTCTGCCTCCTCGAACACAAGTATCACTCAGACCTCTAGCGCCACTCAGCATAGACCAACGAGGGTTCCGCGCAATCCTCGAGAAAATTACGCGGTCCATCCTTTGAACGAGATAGATTACTCTTGTCTACGCCGTACGATTTTGTATATTTTTTTTTCGTTTCCTTTGTTTAAAAAATTTGTAAATATATTTAGAAAAAATGTATATTAATAAAAATTGTATAGACATGAGCTATAAAATTCTTTAAAAGAACCATTGTTGTTATCGTCGATTAATTTAACCGAATAAAGATTAAGCATATACATCAAAGTTCAAACAGTTATCTTAATGCATCTTTGTAATACCTTTGCACCCAAATATCTTTATCTCGAAAAAGTAGAACTATAATTCAAAAGAATTTATAAACAGATTATATCTCGCACAACGTGGCCTTGCCAGAAAAAGCGTAGTTCGCAAATGTTTGCTAACGGAACAATCTCTTATCAGAGTCGAGCTAGGCTAAGATAATGAGGGATAATGTGTTCAACGGCGAAATATAACGCTCGGCATAAGCGTCGGTTTCGGTGAAGCACTCAACACTTATTTCGAAGAAGAGAGACCCCTGGCTTAAAATAACTTTACTGCAATATTTTAAAAAAAATTATTACATATGTAAATCGTTCATTTTTTATTTAATCTTATTGTTATTGTTAAATTTTGGATGCTGCAAATTATTTACATATCATTCATCTTATGCAATTTTAATTATGCAAGAACAGAAGGTGAAAGAAGCGGAGTATTGTACGCTTTGACATTTTGCCAGCTCAGTATTTTCTGCAAACTGGCGCCGCTGACATTCGCTGCATTTATCTTCGTCATAGCGCCCAAGAAACAATATTTACCGAGTCGCGAGATAAAGAGCCGCGCGGTTCGTGGCGGCGCGGCGGACTGCAATAATAAACTATCGCGCCGATGTAACGCTTAGCGTATCGAGTATTTCGACGAAATGATAATATTCGGGTCGTTCAACCGCCTCGCGCACCTCGGCGGGAGAAATTCACGAAGCTGCGGGAGTTATACGTAAAAATAAACAATATGCGCGCGTGGAGCATGCGGCGTTTTTTTTTCCCGTATTATACGTTTACATAAAAACAGCAACGTTTTAATTATGTGAAAGATCAAAACGGATAATAAGTGCGGATTTATGACATAAAATTACATCGTCGACTTTATTAAAGGTCAGCCGGGAAAAAATGATACGTTACGAAACAAAATGCGTCGTAAAACGTCGCTGTATTAGCTGCAAGGCTTGCTCGGATATGTGAGACATCGTGTTATTACCTTACGAACGTTGACCGCTTTTGTTACGTACGGAGGTGAATAAAAGCGCGACGAGACGAAGTATAAACGAACCGCTAGCGAGCGAACGGCGGAATCGCAGACCACTCCTAGTTTCAGCGTCTATATACGCCACGTGTCGACTGTTACTGCACCGTGGCACGCCACTTTCCCATTTCCACTGCTCCTCCTGTCCGATTTATCGTCAGACATAGCCACGAGGTCATTCACACGGAATTCACAGTGTCTGTCGCGATTTGCACACGTGGACGCGCCTCTGTTCTATCCTCTAATCTAAGAGGTTTCATGTATTTTCGCGAATTTCATTACACAAACGTTTATTAATACTTTAGTACTGTAAAAACCGCGACTGAAGTGAAGCGGCAAGAATCGCGATAGGGTTTTTCGAAACGACGATAAGAGCGCGGAAAACATTCGGAAGATTCTTTCTTTTTCCCTTCGTCTCAACGGTGTCTTAACGGAGGGTCTTAACGGAAAAGTTATCGCCATGACTTCCAATTCACGGCAGCAATCCCCGGGTCTTAAGTGAGTTCGGGGAACGACGGCGCGGGTTGCGTATCGGTATTCAGCGCGCAAAAGGCAAAGCTTGCATTTTGCAATTCGCATCGCGTCGCATCGTATCGCGCAATACAGAAAGGGTGACCCACCCTCGATATGAGAGGGTTACTGCGAAATAGAGAGAGAGAAGGAGGGAACGGGGAACGATTGTTGCGGGGACGCGGTTGCCATGGAAGGACTCGGAGGGTGTTTCGAGAGCTTCCAGCGGTTTACAATGGTGCCCTGGTTCCTCCGGTCTCCTCTCTCCTTCCCTTCGTGCATCCTCCTCTGTCACTGCACGGCAAATACGTGCACACACGCTCGCACGAGCCGCGTTCTCGCGCGCGCGCGCGCGCGCGCGAGATCGATCTCCCTCGAGTTACCTAACGGCTCTCGTTAGACCGGCCGGCCGGCCGGCCGGCGAAGCCAAGAAAACCGGTATTACTGAAAAACTGGAACCGCCGGTTCGTCGGCGGAACACGCTCGAGAACGGCCACGGAGAACCTTATTGCGCAACACTCGCCGATAAAAGAGTGCGACGCAAAAATATCACGCGCCCTGCATTTGTCCGTTTTTCTAATGTCGCGACGTAAAGCGCGAGGGAATGTACGGTGCGTTGAAAAGCGCGTCTTCGTCTAAATGGTAATTCAATTGCCTACGATGTTTTAATGTTATTGACGACGAAGAGAGTACTAAATATCAAGGAAAATTATTTCTCAATAATAACATGATATATCGCTTATATTTTTAGAAAGATTTTTCAAGAGTATTGGTCATATATCGATGCCATGTATGGTAGGCAGTTTACTGTGGGCTATAAATGCCACGTCGGACCGTAATAAAACGCATTGTTTTATAAGTTTGACAAAAAAAAATCGCGGCGTCTAATAAAATAGCTAAGGACCGATTTTATGAATGTGCCGCGATAAACAATCCCGCACATAAAGTCGCGGAAGAAATAATCGCTCTTATTTTTCTTCTGTCGATAATAACGGCAATAGTAACGAGTAATAGTAGAGCGACTGTAACGACTCTGGTCGTCGAATTTGTTCCAGGAACGGATCGCAGGGCGTTAATTAGCCGCGTCGTTAACTTCTTTAACTGTCAGGATCGTGCGCTATAGCAGGTTTCCTAACGAAACTACGACCCGGGTGACTCTATCAAGACAAGTCATTTGGAACCCTGCAGAAGCGCGTACCCTAGTTCAGAGGGGAGAGCCGACTAGGCTGCTTTACCAGTTAGCCTTTCTTTCTCCGTTCCCACAAACAAGCGCCGAAATGGCAGGCAATTTGGAGGTCGAGGCCAGGTCCTAGGTCAAATTTTGTTAGGCATTACAGAACGGGGGTTGAAACGTGCATCACTTATGGGGCCTCCTCCCTCAAGAAGGCTACTTTCTGCCGCGTAATAAAATTAAAAGCGCAGACGCGGTATTTTATCGATGTGAAATATTAAAAGCTTGTCATTTATCGAATTAACATGTCGAGATTATAAGCTATAAATTGAAGTGAATCTCTTTTACAGATATATATATATAATTCTACATAATTTATTTATATAATTTATTAATCTCGTTAACAATGCGGGTTTCATCATGCGAAAGCTTTGTTGTCTACATACGCATTTGTAATATTTTAATATGAATTAAAATAATACACATTTGACATTCGAATAAATATAAAAACAAATATATATTTATATTCTACCGTCTCTAAGAGTGGTATATTTTTCTCATTTATTCCGACTAAGTACAAAATTCGTGAGCAAACGTTGCGTTTTGTATTAATCCCAAAATAATCTGATTCCTTCTTTCGAATTCATAATATTACTTTGCAATAGAAACAGATAAGAAAAACAGTTTAAACAAGATTAGCATTAAATACACGTTAGCGCAAACAGATCGCGTCGATAATCCGGATTAACTTGTGGCAATCCCATGTTAATGATATTCTTTACCTTTTTCCGGATTACGGTGCTACCTGATGCAGGTGAACAAGTCATTAACCAGGGTCGACGTTAATCGACGTCGACGCAAGAGGACATTGCACGGCGAGTAACAGGTCAAGGGAAAAGTATAAGAGAGTAAAAGTATTCTTTAACGCTGGTGCGCATATAAACGCATGTATGTAACTATGTACGTGTAGTGCATGCGTATATGTGCGCGCACAAAGAGACACACGCTACTCGGACTGCCCGGGTATTGATTTCCCTGCGTATTTGGGGTAGGACGACAGTGTTACAGGACGGGATGCAAAAGGATTCGCCAGGGGCGTAGCTCATGTCTGATTTATGCGAGTGGAAAATACGGTCTCTCTCTCTCTCTCGGCTGAGATTAATTTAACGAGTTTCTACGACGAGATTAAACCTGGTCGTCAATATTAGTTTAACTCTACATCTGGTTACTTTTTATACCTTATTAAAAACGCATACATATTGATGATGCATATATTGAAAGCGCATATAATTACGTGTTTAGTTAAGTATGCTACATTATTATGCTCCATCGTTAACTCATCATGAAAATAATAATTTACTTTTTTTTTGTCTCAAAGTAATTAAAAAGTAACTCCTTCTCCGATCGATATGTTGCGTGACACGACTTTCGAAAGTCGTATTCGACGATTTATCACTTGTCGCAACGGTCGGGTTCATTTCGTTAACAAAGCAACGCGTCGTAATTCAAACATAAGCAAAATTCTCGACGTGTCATTCAAAAAGTATAAGCGATTAATTACTCACCTTAATATGATAGGAGTTAAGCTTGGTGCGGGGCAGGCTGTTGAAAGCGCTGAAATCCAGACGACGCGAGAAGATGCCGTTGGCGCCGCAGCTTTGTCTGCAAGCAGATAAAATGAAGTTTTAGGTGACGTTAAACAAATACGACGATAAAATACGCTATATACATAAATTATCCATATCACGCGCATTCCAATATATTTGCATCTACGACATCGATGCCTGGCAAAGAACGCGATTATTGATATCGAACGACATGGGTAAAACGAGCCCTTTAAAGGGCTTCCAACGGAAAAGTTCGTGTTCCACTGAATTTTTCGCGATTCATAATAACTTCGGACCCTCGGCCTCTCGCTTGACAACTCTCCCTTCAAGGACGCCAGTCGTACGACCCTCGTCGTGCAAGCCTCATGCTTCCTTTATGCATGTGCGACGATGAAAGCGAGCACGAAATATCTAAGTGCGTGTGTGTGTGCGCAGTTCTTTACCCAGCCCCACATCAATCGTCATAGAAAAAGCCAAAAGTTTCCCAAGCAGAGGGGCAACAATTTACCTTCGGCGAAAACGCACTATAGACCGATTACATCACGGGATATATAGACTTTGTTAAACAAACTATTGATAAGCTTAAAAAATGTATAAGCGCTTTTGAAACTGTTTGCCGGTTATTTTTAGACAAAGAAAAACATTTCTGCAACAAATTAAAATTAATATAAGCGCAAGATTAATATTGTTCATTCACTTCTCTTAATCGCTCAAATTATAATCACGAAAACAATAATAAAACGTTTCTGTAATTACAGCTGATAGGTCGATTAACGTTCAATTACACGAGAAGATCAATCATTTTCTACAACCGTACATTTCTGACACCTACAAATAAGCACACCGGCTTCTTCGTTGCGTAACACTCAACATAACATGAATCAACGACGGTCTCGGCTCGGCTTGCCTTATAGAAGAGATTCTGCTACAGGGGCACGGCAAATTAAAATGATAAAATAGAACAACAACAGGCGCCAGTGAGGTGGCCTCTCCAGGATACTCAGCGCGAGCTGGAATTACAGCGACGACCATAATGGTCGTCGGATCGAGCTGTGCAACATAGTTGCGTCACCAGGAAGACGAGCAAGAGCGAGCGAGCGAACGCGCGAGCGATAGGCGTTAACATAGTGGCGAACAGTGGGGATCAGCTACGACCTTGGCCTCCACTCTAGCGAGACCGTCCCTCTATCGCCGCCTGTATTGGTTGTTTGGCAATGTCAGTCGAGGGTCACGAAAATATTGCGCACCGTCGAAGGCAGGCGGCGGTTTTCTGCGAGGAAAGGGGAAACGCTCATTTACATTATGCAATGCGTTATTCGATTTGTAAGTCTGTTATCAGAGAGCTTAAATGTCGCTACTTATCGCGATCGGTTTAATCACACTTTTTTTTCAACGTGGAATCTGGGACAATTCTTGCCGAGATAAGTTTGGACGAGCGTAATACATAAATAATTGGGGTATTACATTGATCCCACGGTTCTAAACGAGAATTCGTTATTCTCTTAAGTTTGATCTCTTTCTTGAGAGCTTAGATTGAAATCATGACCTTGAATCTTATTAACGTGGATAGAGAAGTTTTCAAAAATAAAAAAACTTCACACCTAGACAAAACTATGTATATTAAAAATAAATTTATTGTTAGATTTGATTGAATTGCGACGAAAATGAAATACACAAAGTCACAAGGCACGTGTAAAGATTGATATATGAATAAAGATTATCCTTTGTTATTCCAAAACATGATTAGGATCTGGAAAGCATATGCAACGGAAATATAAAGTTCATTCTTCGTCGCTCACGTAACCGCGTTGGCGCCAGACGTTATAATTCTACCAACCGTCACAACAAAACAGCAAATAGCCTAGGTTTGAGCCTAAGTATAGTCTATTTTTACATATCAGGCGCGATAAATGTTGTGAGTTGCCCAAGTAATATTTTTCAAATATCATTATTCAGTTATCGCGTTTCGTATCAATCTACCTGTTTTTTTTTCCCGATCGCGCTGTCACGGTTTGAGCTCCTCGTTAGATCCGATGATAGAATTTTACATCGGTTGGTCGCACGACGATGACTAACGTGCCGTTATGTAACGTGTTGTTATGAAAACTTAGTTGCGACAGGCGCAGCTTCGTGCGCGGGCGCACGGAGCACGGAGCGTTTCGAAGTAAATAGCGCTGTTTACACCGCATTACCGAGATTAGTCGACAATGTAGCGGAGAGCCGATAAAACGCGAGGAACGCGACGCGGCGCCGCTCCTTTTTTGCGCCGCACCGACCGCGCTTGGCAACTCGCAACACGTTGAAAATACACGTGAGTTAGTCGCGCGAGCCGCCCGCGGAAATTATTATCAACGCATACCCACGTCATCGGCATACCATATGCCTCCGACTAAAATCGAGCTGAACAAAAAAAAATTATCGGAGCGCCGAAAGGCCGGATTCTTTGTTTCCGCACGATAGAAATTTTCATTTCCACATATTACTCGGCAAGCCGTGAATTACGCATTCCACACGAACGCTGAGCGTACGCACGTATCGAACCGAGTAATCCTTAAAAAGATACGCGTGTAGGAAGCATTCGTGGACTGGCTAACTTTCGTTTTCGACGAAGCATTCCTCGCATTCGACCGTGGGGGACGCTGACAAAAGACAAACAAAAAAAAAACGAAAAAGAGAGGAGAGAAGAGACGGCACGCTGGAGGAACTCCGGAATAAAAATAAGAACACGGTGGTATACACGTGAAAGCCATTAAGTCGGACGTAACGGTGGGGAAAAAATAGTAGCCCGCAGTCCGATTTAGTGCGCACTAACCGGTTTTTCGTAGTTAACATACTCGAGCGCGCGCGCGCGCGCGCACGCATGCACACATCCGCACGTGTTATCTGAGAATGGTGTGTGCCGCGCACCGCTGATGCAAGAAAGTTATTATCTAACCTTGACGCGACACTCGCCCATGCGGGCCCCCGAATTTCGCGAGCACGTGTCGCAGATACTCCGGAATTTGGTTATCGTTGCGCCGGCAACGGTGACGCACGGCGACCCGAGACGCCCCGCGAGCGAGTCGGTGCATTATTTTTAGTCACGGACGCAATCGCGCAGGGGGGATATATATATATGTATTTTCAGGCGATATCGACGCGTAACGCAAGGCGCGATTAATCGTACGCTCGAGTAATGCCATTAGCCCTGAAAACGTTGCGTTCGAATCCCGCTCGATTAACAGCATGGCGCCGATTAAGTTTTTGTATCGAGTGCGCTTGGCGAACAGGCGTATCAAATGTTATTGCACATTATCAGTGTTTTGCGTTCGTATCAGGATTAACCGCGAGATAAGTTCTAAGAAAAAACCGTTAGATAAACATTAATAAAACGCTTATTAATAATAAAGCGCGAAACAATAACATGGATAACGATATAGTCATATAATATTATTATAGACTTACGAATCGTGCTTGGAGCGTTAACGTTTTACGGCAATATTATAAATATTACAAATTTATACGTATCTCTCGTTAGGTTCATTAATACGAAAGAACAATCAATATCAGCAATTTGCACCTGTCTATATTAAGAGTTTCGTATTAAGAGATTTAACGTCTAAGCCACGGTGAAAAACATCTGGTCTAGCTCGGGCACGGCGCTGTCGAATTAATTGGCATCGTAAAATGCGCGATTTATGCGTTGCGGCATTCAGCGGTGTGGGACCTGATCTAACATTGTTGCGCAAACAACAGGCGTCATATACGGCGCTCGGCGCCGGACGGAGCGGATAAAGTTTTCGTAACCGAACACCGACTCGATAGACAGTGTATCGAGTCCCGGTCGGTCGCACAGAGACGGATTACGTTTCTAGGAAGTGTTCCACACTCGACACCTTCCCTCGCTTCTCCGCGCGCGTGAATGACACGCCGCGCCGTCGAGGCGTAAAGAGGATCCTGGGCAGCCGCGTATCACTTCGCCGCGTGTATATCCCGCAACCTGTCTTTTATTCGCCTTATTCCCGCGCGCCACGGCGACGACTCGATTTGTTACGTCGGCGACCGAGCCGGTTAGTCAGCGTTTCCGCGAATCGCGCCGTCCGTTCGCGGTAATATCACGTTGCGCCGATCGCAGGCAGGCAAGTGTTCCCGCTTTGCTGAAAATAGCAGCGAGCGGGAACGTGCGCGCGCACGCGCGCGTCTAGCACTCGCGCCAAACAACCGTATCTCTCTCTTTATTTTTTTTCCGCGCAGACATGTGTGCGGCCGCGATAATGATTATTATTGACGAACGACCGATCGGCCGCACACTCGTGCGCGCCATCAGGAATCATATAAACGGATCCTGTTGCGCTGTGTCGAAGAAACTCGACGGGACTCGACACGTATTTTGCACATTTGCGAAGATACGCGCTTCGTGTACGCGCGCACTGCCGCGATTATGCAAACCCGTCACGTTTATCGCCAACCGCTCGACACACGAACCTGACCTATCTTAATACATCGACCGATACCATTTCTCCGATTTGTTATCGCGGATTAACGCGCTCGATACGCAAGTGCCCGTGGATAACTGATCGGAGCCCAACGGAGCGTGAGGGGCTCGCCCTTCGTCAAACGATCCGGAACCGCAAATTTTTCTCGTTTTTTTTCTTTCTTCTCCCCGGGAGTTGACGCCACTGCCAGAACATCGATGATATCACCGGGAATGTATATAGCGATAGGTGCAACGGGGAAAACCGCGGCAGTTGCAATGGAATATCGTGCAACTTATTTCCGGTGACTTACGTCAGCGCACTTTATCGAGTGCCTGTGACCTAGGTCGTGATACCTACTCTATGAGGGAGAAAATTTTAGCTTAGGCACCGCACGGATGGTAACAGAATCTATTTTGGGGAGATACAAGCCTAAAATAAAGTAAAATCTAAAGCTTTCTGATTCTGATAATTCTGTTATACATTAATATAGATTTTTATAAAATGTTATAAAATGTAAACTTGGCATTGACAAAAAATTTAATTAATATTATTATCAATTTATATCAAAGTTTTATTAATTCCCCCCCCCCCCCCGTCT